GTAGACTATGCAATGAATCATGTTATGTAACATTCTGAAATCTTGTGGGTTTTTTTTTCAGAATGATAAATATGGATATTGTTTTCATGCTGTAATTAAAACGATGACTGCATCTCCGTCTGTCTCTCTCTCCCTCTGTCTTATACCTACCCATCCATGGCATATGACCAAAAGTAAATAGGCATGTTTGGAAGTACTACAGCAACTTTGTTTTGCTTGGTTCAATGACAGCCTATCCTCTCCCATGCAGACCTTTACACCCTTGAAGCGCCTGGTGCAGGCAGTAAGCAAGGTCTGCTTGATACCGTTATGCCAGCTCCACTGTCAAGGCGACAAGAAGCAAAATATATAGTTAAGTCCAACAGACAGATAACATTTGGAAGAGGCTCAGACAGACTGTCCTTCAGATATTCTTCCAATGCCCTTTTTAATTCTTCAACTGTCTAGTGTACTTGTAACATTCCACGCCCACCCACAGTATTCTCCTTCATAAGTAGAGTCTGCCAGCGTGGATGAAGGGCATGATTCATTGTCATTATTTTTTTGGTCTTCTTATCCAGGGCTTTTAGCTCAGCTTGAGTCCAGTCCACTATTGCAGCTGTATATCTAATGGCTGGAATTGCCCAGGTGTTAATTGCCTTGATGGCATTTCCACCAACGACTTTGCGCTTTACGATCTTCTTCACTCTTCTGATGTATTCACTACTACCTTTCTTCTTGACTTCGGTGTGCTTGATTTTGTCAGCCTGAATGATGCCCAGGTATTTATAGTGATCTTCTTCACCCAAACTCTTAATGTTATTTCCATTGGGCATCTTGATTCCTTCATTTTTCACTAATTTTCCTTGCTGATGGTCAGGGTGGCACATTTATCCAGTCCAGCCTCCATTGCAATATCTTGGCTGTATATTTGGACAGTGTTGAGCCGCGATTCCATTTCAGGTGATGTTTTTCCATACATCAGATTGTCCATGTAAAGGAGGTGGCATAACCTGGCAGATGTTTTTGATGCTTGATAGCCATGGCCTGACTTCTTCAGTTTTGTTGACAAAGGAATCAATGCAATGAGGAATAGTAGTGGTGATAGTGAGTCTGCATCAGCTACCACACCAGTTAGCAAGTTTTTGGCAAACAGGTAATTGGCCTGTAGTTGCCTGGGGCTGCCCCTTTTGCTAGATCTTTCAGTATCAGGTAGGCTTTGCCAGATGTTAACCAATCTTCAATTTCACCTCTTTGCAGTATCTTGTTAAACTGCTTGGCAATGAGTGGGTGCAGACCAGTCAGATGTTTCAACCACAAACCATCCAGTTCATCTTCACCTGGTGCTGGCCAGTTCTTGATCTTCCTTGCCCTTTTCTCTGCCATTTCTGCTGTTATTACAAGTTCTTTCATTTCAGCTCCTTTTCTATTCTTATCTACCTCCTTTATCCAAGATACATTCTTTGTATTTCTTTGGCTTGTCTCATAGCTGCGCCCAGAACTGCACTGTTTTTGCTTTGTCAGGCGTTGACTGGTTCATTGCAGTCTCTCCATTGATGGATTGGTAGAAACGTTTCTGATTCAACTGAAATTGGAGATTCTGCCTGTAGTGT